TTTTTAGAAATGTCGGTATAGGTCCATTTTTTGGTTCCCTATGTTTTCATTTCTAATACCTGCCAGTATATATATGGTGGAGGGTACCCAAAGTTCGGCCCGGCCGAACTTAACGCTTTTTCACTTGTTTAACTAGTTTGTGGTCAAAAATAGGCGATTTTCCAAAAAAATATCAAAGTTCCGCCATTTTGTTAATTGTTGTCAAAATAGTTTATCCACAATTTATGCTCTTCTTTACACTTCATATTCTCCATAATTATAGAAGAATTTAAAATTTTCTGTTGCGTCCTGCGTACGTCCCTGGGTCCAAAAATTATCGATGTGACATGAAATTCCGACATTTCCCATTCCAATGAAAAATTACGACTTGGCACTTATTGTTCTTTCAATAAACGTCTGTTTCGTATGTAACTCGTTTTTATTCAATCAAATCTCTTGCTGCCTGCCTTAACTAACTTTCATTGGATAGATTACTCATTCTTACGAAATCAAATCATTATCATTGTCAATAAATATCTACTTGTTCTGCACCCCAGGCGTATTGCATTCAAATATATCGAATAAAAACAATTAAACATCATAAAGAACATGCATGCAATAAAAAAATAAATAAATAAAAAAACGAATCGCAAAAATTCCACCGGTTCATTTAATCCACTCAATAAATATAACAATCCTCTTGTTAGCGTATGTCGCCAGGTGTGTAGGTTGCACATCACCATCACGTAGTAAACCCCGAGTCACTGACTAAGTAAAAGCAATACGTCATGCCTATTTATTTCAATAGACGCTAATGTCCTTTGCCCTGCCCAACGCCAAGAGTTCACCATGACTGTCCATTTAAAGACCTCGAACTTGGCCACGCATTTGCTACTCTGAATATTTATTTATTGAAGAACCCTTCGGCTGTCTCGTAATTGCGACCTTGAATATAGAATGTAATTAACTATGTTGAACTTATGGTCGATATGGCTTTAGATGAATAACCCGTCATTTGTTTGGGTTAAAGTTAATGTCGGGTGATTGTGTGATAGCAAAACAGTCCTGATTGATGTGGCTTAACTGTGTGTTTCGTTTTGCGTTCATTCTCAGGTGCAGTTTTGTGGGCAAGATTTAATAAATGTTAGGATATTTTACCTTAACTTTGTTTGACAACAATAATAAATTTATAAGTAAATTAAGAGTGAGCGAGAGAGAGTGATATGTGAAAGATGAATGTTGGAATGATATATAAGGATTTGTCACACCCACCACCAGAAGATAAAAAATATGCCTCATTAAAACTTTGATTTGGACTGTAAGTACCTTTGCCACAAACTATTTTCAAACTTTTTTAAGTCGATTTATTAATGTCCGTATGCGTGTTTTTGCTAGCTTGTACGTACAATAAGTCATGGACAGAGTAACATCGATTATCCATTCACTCCTCCCCAAATATGTTTGTGCATCTCTGAGGGAACGATGTATCAGACGTAATCCAAACACGGTGTAAAATTGCCAATCCTTTATGAAGTCCATGCAAAACGACAAATGGTCAAAAATTTTGAAAAATTCTAAATCAAATAATATGGATTTGGAACATCTGAACTGCTACAAATTTTGGAAATAGGAATATTTGCACCAAACATAGACTAATTTCGAAGATGGACCCCACCGGTCTACTCCTGCTGGTATTTGCTCATAGGGCTAACCTTCAGAAAAATAGTATAGCTCCTAGAGGTCACAATAATGACCCGAACATCACGAAATTCAACACGCAGAAGGCAGGTGGATAAACCTGACATTCCATGGCGTATTAATTTACTCCCAAAAGTCATAGCCGAAATATTCACGAGAGACCCCATAAAGCAATCATATTCTTGATAAACAAAATAAAATTCTATGTCAATTTATGTATGTCCGTCTGTTGAAATCACGATAGAGCTTGCAATATTTAAGACAGACCTTTGAAATTGCTATTACTACTAGAATGTTTGTTACTGAAAGTTGGATATATCGATCTACATTTGGTATAGGCTCCGGTAACACCCAATATTTGATATTTTAAATTTTTTTGGCACGTTTTTCAACTGAATTGGCTTTTATTTGATATTTTGATTTTCCTTTGGGTATCAAATCTTCCTACTCAAAATGTTCAATATTGGTCTACTTTTCACGATTGCCCTCATTTAACGGTCCCTCCCAAATTTCGATTTGCGGAGTGTGATCACGTCTTTCAATCGAATTGGCTGTCATTTGGTTATTTTTGTTCTTATTGGGTAACATATCGTCTACTAAAAATGATCAATATTCGTCCACTTTTTACGATAGCCCCATATTACGGTACCTCCCAAATGTCAGTATCAAATTAGCTGCAATTTTGTATTTTGGGTTCTCATTGGGTAATACGTTTTCCTACGAAAAATATTAATATCGGTCCACTTTTTAAAATAGGCTCCATATAACTGTATCTCCTACCAAAATTTGCCCATGAAAGAATTACAGGTATTTTGAAAGTCCAGCATAAAAACCCGAACATCTGGAAATAGAAGGACATCTGCCCAACGAATGACTTTTTTATGATTATCGGTCAATCTTGTGCCGGTCAAATCGATCAAAAGTCTTATGTGTAAATTGTCAAAATGTTAATATTTTGACGAATATATTCACGACCAGAAGACATGACTCGGAAAAGTGGCCAATATATTAATGTGTGAGCTCCAATCTAATGGTACTAACAGCATTTTAATTTCCGATTTTGCTTACTGCCCCTGATTTTTCTTGTTTATAAAAGATTTCGATTGAACATTGATATTCCATCAATGTTGTTCTATGAATTGAAAATAATATATATTATAAACTTGGAAATTTAATTTAATTGTTTGAAAGAAAAAACTCTGACATGTATGTATGTCGGAACTTATATTTACATTGCCATTTGACCACTTTTTATGTCTGTAACATTTGGTGGCCGTTATACAAACATTGTTTTATTTTTTGAGGTAGTCATTATGCGCATATGGGCATTTCCGGAAAAAGGTAAACCAAAGTCGAAGAATTTGTTTCTTAATTGTGCTTAAATACGTGAAGTAACGCAAACATATAAAGATAGACAACATGTCATTTTTTTTTCTTCATATTCATAGCTTCAAGACTATAAATCCAGACACTGCATAAATAAAAACTGCAAAATCAAGAATGTCGCGTGAGTTACGTCGCGCGAGTGACCGAGAAAAATCCTTCGCAAATAACGGATATACCAAATTTTGAAAGTGCAATAATAATGTTTGCTATCTCTTATTCATGTAAAAACCAGTTAGGAAAGTAGTAAAGTCGGACGGGACCGACTATATGATACCCTTCACCACTTTGGGTATATTCGACAGATGAATCCTAACAGACGTCGCAAATTTTAAACAAAAATCTGAAACGATTTCAACAATTTCCGGAAACCTAACACACATCAATTTAGATCTAATTCATTACGCTGTGCCAAATTTTGTACAAATCGAAAGATATATAGGGACCTTGGTGCACCATTTACATTAAATCAGACGAAAATATACATATATGGGAGCTATATCTAAATCTGAACCGATTTTCAAGAAATTTTACACACGCCATTCTAGGCCTAAATCATTATGCTGCCAAATTTAGTGCAAATCGAAAGATATATAGGGCCTTTGGTCCAACATTTACATTAAATCGGACGAAAATATATACGGGAGCTATATCTAAATCTTAACCGATTATCAGGAAACTGAACACACACAATTCTAGACCTAATTCATTACGCTGTGCTAAATTTCGTGCCAATCGAAAGATATATAGGGATTTTTGTGCACGATTTACAAAAAATCGGACGAAAATATAAATGGGAGCTATATCTAAATCTGAACCGATTTTTCCCAATTTGAATAGGGTTCGTCCTTGGGCCAAATAAGTGACCTATGCCAAATTTCATCCAAATCGGATCATAAATGCGACATGTACTTTGTTAACAAAAATACATGGACGTTCAGACGGACGGACATGCGTAAATCGACTCCGAAAGTGATTCTATGCATATTCTCAAAAGAAACCCTGTGTCTATATCATTTCCTTTTGCCTGTTACAAACATATGCACAAAGCCATAATACCCTATACCACAGTGTGATGAAGGGTATAAATATAAAAAGTTCCAAATATTCACACAATTCGCAGAGTTTCCCAATTATTATCAATGATGTCTAAAGTCATGTATATTTGATGTCGCGTGAGTGACCGCTTTTTTGTGTCTTTTATCTCGAAAGATAAAAACCAGAGGCCCTCAAATTTCTTTTAAAACTGATAGTACAATTTCTATAAAAATTATTAAGGGGAATTGTAAAAAATGTAATTGTTTTTGATTTATTTAACATTTAAAGTTTGAATTTGCCTCTGAAAGTCGTGTAAGTGACTGCGGAAGTGTCCATATGCAAATGTACCTGAATTTAAAAACAAAAACTTTGTAACTTTTTCGATTACCCTGAATAGCTTTTGCATTTTTATGTTGGATGAACACTACATACGAACACTGTTTCATTTTCGTCCTTTATTTATCCTTTTTTTAGATTCGTCCAATTATCATAATATGCGACTTTTCATCCTTGCAGTATTCTAAAAAAAATTGTACAAGCTTTAAGGTAGGATCCTCAAAACCAGGAAATCGATATTTTAGCGCTTTAATGAGCTATAGAAACCCCTATATGTGTATGAAATTCAATAAATTTTGTTATAAATTCTTTATTGTGGAGTCGTCCGAATGCCAGTTATACCAAATACGCCAAAAACCAAATTAATATTCTGACCTCTTTGTTGCCGAAACGTACATTATCCGAAAATTTTAACAAAGAAAACTCATTGAATTTTAATCATGCAATTTTCATTTTGTTTGTTTATTTACGGGAAAAAATATGCAATTTTCAAATTGTCCAGTCTCCAATTAACGGTAATGTCTACCCCATTGGCTTAATATCGTAACAACTAATGTGGTACTTACTCAGTTTCAAATAACACTGCAGATAGAAGTCATTGCCCAGGATTGTGTTCAGCAAACCCAATATACCCTGTGGAAATTCGGTAATTAGAAATAGTAATAGCACAGCCAAAAGCATGCGTGTCGTTCGATCTGTCTGTTTTTCCTTTTCCAGAGTTTTGCTATTTTTACGTGGCTTTGACTGAGCCGTTTGTTGCGAGGTATCCGCTCCAGCCAATTTGCCATTGATTATGGGTTTCATGCCATTGGCAGCATTACTCGTAAGCATTTTGCGACGTCTTTTGGCCTCCAGCAATGCCATTATCAAACGTATCGAAAGAATTGTGAGGGCAATGCTGGGTATCAGTTTGATTAGGACGCTGTAGATGAGAAAAGTTGTGTACTGCAGCGATTTGTTGTGCAATGCCAGTTCACTGTGGTACAGGCGGTATGCAATTACGTCACGTGATCCATCATTAACGGCCGGCATTTCCGTTATGTTGTACGGTGTTGTCGTAATACTGGCTGCGGGAATAGTTGCTGGATCTGTTGTTGCCAAATACGATGAATTCATCATAGTCAGGAGAATGTCCGCAGCTGAACTATTACTAAACTGCATATCTTGTTGTTGGCTGTGTTCCATGTTGGCAACATCGTCTGACTTTTTTAGGGACGTTGCATCCATTTGATGGTAATCAATCACGTACTGTGTTAGGGGTGCATAACTTATAACCTTGCCTTTGGCATTTATGGTATCTCGAAACTCAACAATGGACGTTACCAAATACATGGAGGGCGACACCACCAGGACACACACCACATACGCCGAGGTTATCGTTATGATAGTTGTCCTCATGCCACACCACTGACGATTTTTTTGGGGATAACCGACTGCTATGTATCGCCACACGGCCAATGTCACGGTCAGCCATATGGATATTGTGTGCAGCACTTGGGTAAATATGGAGTGGAACTTTATGAAACAGGCCCACGAATAGCTAAGTTTCTGTTCGTGTGTCAAGTGCTCCCAGAGTATGAACTCGTGCATTGTGTACGGTATGTATTCGAGCATTACGGCCAAATCGGCCACAGCCAGCCCTGTGAGTATGGCATTTGTGGGCGAACGCATCTCTCGTCGTGATAGCACAATGATGTTTAGGGTGTTGGCTGTGGTGCCCAATATGCAGACAATCAACGACATATAACCATGGACATTTTTGTAACTGCAATTAAATTATAAGAAAACAAAGGAAAAATACCATAAAAAGGAAAAGTAACAGAGACAACTAGTTTTTCTTGGAAATACAAATGTTTAATTAAAATCAACAAAAAATCATAATGTTTTTAGAGACATTTTTGAAATGGCGTACATACGTGTGGGTGGTTGTATTCTCGAAATAATGTTACACATCATTTACTCGTGTATAAAGGCTATAATTATTATTTATTCTGTTTTTTTTTTTTAATTACTAAATATGTGCTTGGTATAGCAAATGGGGTAAATCGGTCCTTGTTTGGACACATAACGAACAAAGTATCAGATTTGATCCGAACACAGTGTAACATTTTGAAAAATTTCTAATCAAATACTATGAGTGTGAGTTATCTGAATTGCTACTAAGATTTAAACAATATAATATTTATGCCAAGGTGGATCCTACTTCTTCTTGTATTTGCCCAAAGGACCAACCTCTTGAAAACAAGTTAAAGCTCTAGAGGTCACAATAATGACCCGAACATTTCGAAATTCTACACGAAAAGGCCAGGAAATGAGCATGTCATTCTGTGGCGTATTAATTTACTTCCAAAATATTCACCGTAGGCTCCATTAAGTAAAATTATATTTTGATTTATGCATGTTGAAATCACTTCAAAGCTCTCCCTATTCAAGGTATAGCTTTGAATTGCTATTAGACTCCATATTTCTATACTACCCAAAATTCGGTAGTTTAAGGATGTTTGACACGTTTTTCAAACGTAATTTGAATTTTGGGGGGTTGTTTAGAACATCATCCTGCTGAAAATGATCAATATTGGTCCACTTTTTACGATATTCCCTGTTAAATATCTGTATTTTGGGAAGTGTGGGCACGTTTTTCCACCGAATTACCTGTAATTGGAATTTTTTGGTCCTCACATCTTCATACCAAAATTATCAATATGAGACCAATTTTTACGATACTGTACAGTTAACGGGTGTCAAATCTTTCAAATGGGGTATATAGGTCCTTGTTTGGGCTTAACGTCCATATACTGGTATTTAGTAAAAATTTTCAACCGCGCTTTTGAAGGGAGATAAGTTTATTTTCAGAAAATATTCAATATGGGTTCATGCTTGACTTAAAAAATGTCCGAATTTTTCAACCGAAAATACTCAATGTTGACATTTCGTGGTGTTGAAGACCCCATGTGTACAGAAAACTATGATTATAGGTCTATGTTATGACATAACCACCACATAAAGGTCCAGCGCCATATTCGATATATTTATGGTTTAAACCGCAATTGTCCACCAAGAGAGCGTTTTTGTTTCGATGTAGACAATTATGAATATAGGTTCATATTTTGACATAGGCTCCATATAAAGGTCCCACCTAATTTTCGGTATTTCAGATTTAGATATAGCACCCATATATATTTTCGTCCGATTTAAGGTAAATGGTGCACTAAAGTCCCTATATAACTTTAGATATGTACGAAATTTGGCACAGCGTACTGAATTAAACCTGTAGTGATGTGTGCCAAGTTTCCTGAAAATCGGTTCAGATTTAGATATAGCTCACATATATATTTTCGTCCGATTTAATGTAAATGGTGCACCTAAGTCCCTATATATCATTTATCATTCGATTTGCACGAAATTTGGCATAACGTTCTGAATTAAACTTAGAGTGATGTTTGCCAAGTTTAGAGAAAATAAGTCCAGATTTAGATATGGCTCCCATATATATTTTCGTCCGATTTAATGTAAATGGTGCACCTAGGTCCCTATATATCATTCGATTTGCACGAAATTTGGCATAACGTACTGAATTAAGCTTAGAGTGATGTTTGCCAAGTTTCGAGAAAATAAGTCCAGATTTAGACATAGCTCCCATATATATTTTCGTCCGATTTAAAGTAAATGGTGCACCTAATGCCCTATATATCATTCGATTTGCACGAAATTTGGCATAGCGTACTGAATTAAGCCTGTAGTGATGTGTGCCAAGTTTCGTGAAGGTCGGTTCAAATTTGTATATAGATTCCCTATATATTTTCGTTCCATTTGAAGTAAATGGTGCATTAAACTCCTCATGTTTGTTAGGTTGACATAAAATGGTCCTTCAAAAATGACATGTATTTTGGGATGCATCTGTTTAATTATAGCCTGAAAGGTGATGTGTGCCAAGTTTTAGATTACTGGCTTTTTTTAATGTATTTTTATATAGCTTCCACTATATATTTATAGAAATTAAACTTATAAAATAATAGTTTTCCAACCTTTCCTGTAATGGCATTTCATATCATGTTTGTTAGGTTGACATAATAATGGTGACATTTGATCCTCAAAAAATGAATGGAAAAAGGTATTTTGACAATGTTCCATTTTTGATATTTTGAAGTCACATTTTCCACCGATGTGATTGTAATTTAGCATTCCTGATTCAAGTTTAATGAAAAGTTTCTGGCTTTTTTTAATGTATTTTTAAATACTGAGATTCCACTTAATTTATAGAAATTAAACTTATAAAATAATAGTTTTCCAACCTTAGTCCTGTAATTTGGCATTTCATGTTGGTCGGAATACCAAGAATTAATTTTCACATACAATAAAAATTAACCAAATTTCTGAATGCTGCTTCAATTCATTTATTCCGTTGCCCTTCTATTTATTTTCAAATATAAAGCTATGCTTTGACTAATAAAAAATTTCCTCAAAATATTACAGTTAACAAAGTTGTTATTTAATTAGCTGAAATGAAAGTTTGCAGCATGAGAATGTTATCAAAAAAGGTAAAATTGCAATTGTATCTAAAATTTCGTTGAAGAACAAGCCAAAGTTTGAAGTGCCCGATTTTGCATTTATGTTAATATCTTAATAGTGAAAATTTAATAACATCATGAGAAAGTGAGTGTTGGCAAATTAAAAGTATGTACGATGAGTGTGCTGGTAATGATAACACTATGGTGGCTCAGAGTTGTTTGTCTTCTTCGTACGTATATTATGTATGGATGTGTGCGTAATCATAAATGAAATCAGTGAACATCGTTATTATACACACTACCATGTGGTGGAGTGTATTTTATACAAGACCCCAAAAAATATATATACTAGCTTACCCGGCAAACGTTGTTTTGCCTTATATTACATAAATATAAGGTTGGTAAAAAACAATTGCCACTATGTTATGACAATAAAAATTGTTAACTGGTACCCTAATGCAGGCCTAAGCACATAATAGTTTATAATTTGCTAGATCGTGTTTACATTATCTTATTTGTCCGCTCTTGAAGGATTCTTAATTACAATATCATTATGTTCATGTCCAACTGTCCTTTTCATTTTTATATTGAAATTTAGTGGGTTCCGCTCAGTTATAGGTATATTTAATTTGTAAACAAATTGTTAATTAGTTTTCAGATTGCCGTTATAGATTTGTATATGATTGCTATATATTCTATATATAGTTTTTGACAGTTAAGGGGAAAAATTTGGCCAATGTTGACGCCGAATACCTTCTTTTAATTGCAAATGCCAGTTTTACTCTTAACTTTTACTCGTGAAATTTTGTAATAGGATTTGTTATATCTTCACATTGTTTAACCCTACGGTCAATAACCGGGTACATTTGTACCTTTTTTGAATAAAAATGCTGTAAAATTTTTAATAATGGATATATTTGGATCAAATTTTGAGGAATCATTCTTGAGGTATTTTCACATATAATCGACGAAAAAAATTATAAATATTTTCCATATATATACTTTTTACAATTTTTTAAAGTTATTACCTACGTTTCAATAACCGTGGTACATTTGTACCCATCCAAAGATAGCTCTGTAACTCATTAAAAAATTGGAATATCGTGAGGTTTTTTTGTTTTAACTCAGTCTATACGAATCTGATCTAGATGTAGGAACTCAAAATTATATATACATTAAAATAATATATATTTAAATCCATGCTTAAATGATAATCTATCTAAAACAATCATAGTAAATTCGTTATAGCTTTCGAATGGGTTAAGCTTTTTTAGTTATTTTATTGGGATCTTATTTAGGTGTTCCTCAATCCCTCTGCAAATTTTTGTGGCCCTAGATAACATGGGGCTATAAGGACGACTCGTGAAAGTCAGAAACTACCCTGGTTTTCCCTTGGTATACAGGGACAAAAACAATGATTATTGTCTGTAATTATCCAATTATTCTTCATATTGGGTCTGCAACTTTTTTTATAATCGAATTAGTCTGATTTATTACAATCCTAAATTGGCGTACATATATAAACTATCATTAAATAACGTTTTAAAGTATTAAATAATGTTAAAAATGCGCCAATCACAATGTCTACACTCATAAAATGTGAATAATTGGCAATAATAATTGTTTTAGTCCCTGTATACCAAAGGAAAACCAAGGTAGTTTCTGATTTCCACGAGTCGCCCTGATGGCCCCATGTTGCAGAGGGGTTGAGGAACACCTAAATAAGATCCCAATTAAAAAATAAGTAAAAAAGTTTAACCCATTCGAAAGCTATAACGATTTTACTGTGATTGTTTTAGATAGATTATCATTTTAGCATGGATTTAAATATATATTATTTTAACGTATATATAATTTTGAGTTCCTACATCTAGATCAGATCCGTATAGACTTATTTAAAACAAAAAACCTCACGATAGTCCATTTTTTAATGAGTTATAGAGCTATCCTTTGTAATATACCACGGTTATTGATCTACGTATACTTTTTTGGTTATTGACCGTAGGGTTAATAACTTGATTTCAATTTAACACTTGAACAAGCTGTTGTCAAGTTGACGGCAAAAAAATAACATTGTCGAAAAAATAACACACATTTTTGACAAATATGAAAATGAGATTTCATATCCAACATCTTGGGCTCTGACTAAAATAAGACAAAACTTCAAATATCTGACGGGAATACTAATAATGCTATCATTAGCATTATTTTCGTCGATGTTAATTTTCGCATTATTAGTATTAGAACATACACATATTTTATGAAATTAGAAGTTTTGATCTAACTAACTCAAAAAACAATATCTCTTAAAAAACAACAATTTATTAAAACATTAAAGCTCGATACAAAAATTGGGGAATTGTAAATATTACTAAATATATTTGTTTTGGCGGAATCTCACAATTAGTTTGCATATTTTCCTATTCCTATTGAATCGTCAAAATCGGTGCAGACGTTCTTGAGTTATAAACGATGTAACTAACACAAAGTTCGATTATTCCAATTTCCTGACTTTTTGATGTTTTTCTCAACATTTTCTTCGTAAAAACCTTCCCAATGCAATTACAAACAACCGAAAGAAAACGTGAGTGAAATTGGTCCAGTCAAAACATTTTTGACGTATATAAATTTAACATTTGAACTACATTGAATATTTTGATAGACGTTTTCGTTTTTACTAAAACATAAAAACATATGTATATGTATTGGCAATTTTCTCAAAAATATTCCGATGAAGTTTCGGTCAGTGGCTCAGATATCACATGGGATATGTGTTGTATTTATAAGTTCAAAACAATTTGTTCCATTATTGTGCTTGTTAAGCATGCTTATCCGATTTTAAGTACTTGCCGGTATAGTTTTTGGTATAGGCTCCACATAATGGAACCGCTTAATATTTACCATGTCTTACTGTGTTTTACTTGAGAACATTTTCACATTTTCACCATGCAAATTGCTTCACAAGAAAATGTTCAATAATACCTTTTATGGAAAACGTGAGCAAATAATCATAGCGATAAATCTTACTCTCACTTTTCGGTTTGTTATTATTAAATGTAACTCTAATGAAAATATATGTAAATTTATTGTCATATACAATAGTTTTTTCAAGGCAATGACAATCCCATTGATTGTAGAAAAATTAACATATTTGGAGAATTTTCCATAATTGACAATTACTTAAAGATATTATATATGTCCAAAAAGAAATATGTCCAAAAAGAACTGCGAAGAGATGAAATCATAAAGGTTCGATATAAAACGTGTGGAAATGCTAATATCTTTCAAAATATATTTTGCATCATTTTCGCGGACTTTTCTCATAATTTTCTTACATTAAAACCTTCCCACTTCAATTACAGACTACTAACAGAAACTTTAATACAAATCGGTCCAGCCGTTTCTTTAAAATAATTTTTGCATGATTTTCTTTTCAATGCTACTAATAACTGGAAATGTGCGGAATTTCAAAGCTCTGATCTCTTCGTGAGATCTCAATATTTTGTGATCAATAAAATTCTTAACATCATGAGAAACCCAAATTTTTTATTAATTCCAAATTGTTTTGCGCTTATTTTTGCTCAGAAAAACATCACTCATTGTTTGGCAATGTATTGTTCGATGGTCGTCAGTCTGACTACTGTTTCTTTCTCTAAAAACCGCCCTCTCTCCACTCTCTCGATTTTGTGGTTAGTTTTTAGGCACTGTTCCTGACCTTTGCATTATGTTATACAATTCGCATATGTATTTTCCAAATTATTTCGATATAAATGCAAAATAAAACATAACAGATACATGTTGATACGAGCAAAAAGTCCAACCGATTTTTTAACATTGTATGTGATCGTTCAATGACGCAAGACAATAAATAAGAAGAACCCCTCTCTGACAACAAACCAGTATTTAAAGTTGTATGTATTGTACTTATAAAATGCAGAAATCCGGAAATTGGCAACACTTTCTGCGTCTATTTTGTGCATTAGTGGAAAAGTACCCCTTTCAACTTAATCAGATTTAATTCGGTATTTCTGGTTTTCATTGGGTAGAACAATAAATGTAAACTTTTCATTAACATCATGATTGTTTTCATACTTGGATCTACTTTACCACTATTTTCACTCATTTTTCCTCCCTAAAAAAACCATCACCATTCATTGTTCGACACGAAAGTTGTTTTTTTTCGCTATCTCGGCTCAGAAACAAGTATTTAAGGCTTTATGAATTGCATTCATAAAATGCAGAAATCCGGACATTGGCAACACTTACTGAATACTATTCATATAATATACGAATTATTTTGTTCTGTGTTAGCGGATGGACCATGAATGCATGTCGGGGTAATCTTTTTTGTATTTTAACTTTCCTTAGCCTTTTTGATCTTTATCACTCTTTATAAAGTGCCTTTCTATTATCGGTATGTTGAAGGTTCTACATGTAATCTCCATCCTAATAGTCTGTTAATTCAAACAGTCGAATTCTTTCTCTGAAGGCTTTGCTATCGCAAATTCTATGGAAATAAACTGTTTATGCTCTGAAAAAGTGAATAATCAAATTAGGAAGACTTTTGAGAATAAATTCGCTCTTTGGTTTTAAAAATGTATAATATCAGTCTTATGTAGAAATGAATTTTCTATACCATAACTTTTACCTACAAATTATGCCAATATACCTTTTTATAAACCGTTTTCAATTTACTCACACGTTATATTAGAGTGTGTAAGAGATATTCATATGAATTTGTTTACACAACATGAGGTCTATCACAGCGAACAATCGTGCATCATTTACTCGAAAATCACTTTTTTTGAGTTATGCATCTCTTGCAGCAAATCGAAACATAGATTCATATATTCTTTACTCAGATCTCCTTCCGTGAACCACTCCTTAGGCGGAACATTACTATAATTTGTCCATAATTAATAATTTTTATTACGAATTAGACTTATTGTAATTATCACTTATATTTAATTTTTTTTTTAATCAATGTAAATTAAAGTCACAAATAAACTGTATAAGAAGAATATATATTGTGGTTATATAGCATACATACGCACATACATATTTGTGTTCGGTGTGGTATTTACCTGGTATGAAAGTTATTTAATTCTTCGCCGCAATAATGCGGTGTAGTCTCATTAACCGCCATTATTGTTTACCGAACAAACGAATTATTTCCGAAGTTTTAATCGATGTTAACCATAGATTCAATATTCAATCTGTAATGATAGAAATAAATTGAACATAAATATTAATATTCCATTAGCTTGGTATATAATCAGGGCTTACATAACAGAAAATAAACCAGTAAGGAAAGTAATAAAGTCGGACTGGGCCGATTATATGATACCCTTCACCACTATGGATATATTAAACAGGACTATTAACATGAAATTGGATGAAATAAAATATGTGATATATAACTAAATATGAATCTACCTAGATCTACGTACTTCAATGCTCCCTTTTAGCAACATTTCAGACAATCTGACAAACATGAGGAGTTTGATGCACCATTTACTTCAAATCGGACGAATATATATATATGAAAGTTATATCCAAATATAAACCGATTCCAATGCAACATGTCACAGGTTAGGATATACTAATTTCAGTACGTTTTGTTCCTACCGATTCCTTGGTGTGTCAATTACTTAAAAGGGAGCTGTATCTACATCTCAACCGATTTTCACGAAACTTGTCACACATCATTCTGGACTAAATTCAGTACACTATGTCATATTTCGTACATATCGAAAGATATATGTGGACTTTGGTGCACCATTTACATTAAATCGGACGAAAATATATATGGGAGCTATATCTAAATCTTGACCGATTTTCACGAAACTTGACAGACATCACTCTAGGCTCAATTCAGTATGTTATGCCAAGTTTCGTGCAAATCGAAGGACCATTTGGTGCACCAATTACATGAAATTGGACGAGACTATACATGGGATCTATATCTTAATCTGGATCGATTTTCACGAAACAAGGCAGACATCAGGCTCAATTCAGTACGTTATGCCAAATTTCGTGCAAGTCGAAAGATATATAGCGACATTGGTGCACCATTTACATGAAATCGGACGAAACTATATATGGGAGCTATATAGAAATCTGGACCGAAATTTGGCAGACATCATTCTAGACTCAATTCAGTAGGTTATGCCAAATTTGGTGCAAATCGAAAGATATATAGGGACTTTGGTTCACCATTTACGTGAAATCGGACGAAACTATATATGGGAGCTATATCTAAATCTGAACCGATTTCCACGAAACTTGGCAGACATCATTCTAGACCAAAATGATTAGGCTGTACCAAATTTCGTGCAAATCGAATGATATATAGGGACCGTTTACATTAAATCGGTTTAATATATATATATATGGGAGCTATATCTAAATCTTAACCGATTTTTCCCAATTTCAATAGGGTTCGTCCTTGGGCCGAATACGCGACCTATGCCAAATTTCATCCAATTCGGATCGTAAATGCGACCTGTACTTTGTTTACAATTTAACATCGACAGACGGATGGACGGACGGACATGCATAAATCGATTTAGAAAGTGATTCTATGCATATTCACAAAAGGAACCATGTGCCCATCTCGTTTCCTTTTGCCTGTTACAAACATATGCACAAAGACATAATACCCTGTACCACAGTGTGGTGAAGGGTATAAATAGGGTGAAATTATATGTTAACAAATGATTTCATTATATAACCAAGTAAGGAGAGTTCAAAAGTCGGACGGTGTCGACTATATGACTCCCTTTACCACATTAGTATTTACAAGAGATGCAACAAAGATTGGAATATTGTCTCATAAACAGCTCAAAGGGACAAAAAAGATTATTCCGGTTTGTCATGGATTTTTCAACTTGCTTGCAAACGAAATTATTTTATTTTATAACTAAGCACTAATGACATACTTTTGTTGCAGTCAAAGGGGGGGGGATATGACTAATACTTTTTACCCATAAACATTTCCATTATTTTAGTAAAACATTCATAAATTCAAGTAGGTCATTTCAATTTATGATATTATGTTAAAGAATTCAGTTAACATGGGTATTCTTCTCAATCAACTTCAACTTGTGAGCGAGTTGTTCCAATTTTTCTTACAAATTAAGCCATGTAAAAAAAATCTGTCAAAGAAACTGAAATGAAATTAAAATGTTACAGTAAGGGTAAAGTTTTTAAATTTTAACGTGATGATTATTTTGGGTTAAGGGTTTTGTTTAGATCTTTTAGATATTTGCAAATAAATTTTAGATTGGCATATGCAA